AATAATAGTAAAATAATTAAGAATAAACTCGTATTAAATGAGATTTAAAGAAAAAAAGATGAATAGTTTGAAAGTCCAAATTAATAAGCATTTTGGGCAAAGGTTTAAAGGTACATTTTTGTTATAAAATGTATATATAGAAAAATATAAATTTTGATATTAATTTTAATAGCATTGTTAGATGAATGAATTTAATTGGAGAGTAACACAAATCTATGATGAAAAAAATATATGAGTAAGGAACTACTTATATATTATGTTTATATAAAATCTTAACTATTTATTTTTTTTATTTTTAATGATTAAGCTTTATTTATATATATTAAAAATAATTATCTTTTTTATCTAAATAATCATAACAAATTTCAACTATTGAAAATTTAGAGATAAATGGTGAAAATTTTGTATAAGTATGGTGTTGAAAATTTTGTATGTGAAGGAATCCCTTCTCAAAATATATTTATTATATTGTTAATTGTATTCTAATAATATGTTTGGTTTGAAGAAAATTGAACAGAGGAGAGAGGAGGAGAAAATAATTTTCTACTTGGTTATTAAAAAAATGAGAGGGTTGGGGAAGGAAAATTTTTATTTTATTTTATTTTTTTAATTTAATTATTTATTTAAATAAAAGAAAAAGAGGAAAGGGGGATGGAAGGAAAAATTTCTCTTCCTTTTCCCTCCATTCCTTTTAATTAGATAAAAATAAAAATTAGGAAAACCTACTTAAGATTTTGTGCTACTTAGAAAAGAAAAGGAGTACTTCATTTTTTAATCCTTTCCAAAAGAATAAATTATTTTACGAACACCCCTATTAAATTAATGATTAAAACTCCATTCTAGTCATGTACTTCAATAAAAAGTGATTTTTTAATATACTGTACTTAAAGAAATTTCTTTTTAGTATCTAAATTTATTTTTGTGATCCTTTTTTATTTTTTTTCCAGACATGGCACGGTAAATAATAAAACTAATAATTTTCAAGTTAAACTACTTACGACGGAAATTCCACCGTGTAGAAAATGCTGAGGAGGACCTCTATGTCATTCTCAACACCTGTGTAAAAAAATGCTGGGGACCTCCACATTAGCAAAGCTTGTCGGAGTCGCCAAGTTTGGCTGTGACATCCTTTCTTTGCCTCCCTAGCTTGTGTCTGTA